CAGCGTTCGAGACAGGAACGCGGCAGAGCACCGAGAGTCGCACCCGTCAGCGTACACCGCCATAACAAGGAACCACTACATGGACGACTGGGTCGATAGCTTTGACTCAAGAGGAAGCAGCCCGCGCCATACGAGAGGTAGTAGAGGTTCATGGCGGGATAGGATTCACGCTGGCGGGTTGGAATACAAACCGACCGAGCCTGCTAGAGAATGTGAGTGAGGACCAGCGAGCGAGGACGCCGAAGGAACTGAGATTGCCGCGATGGTATGGCACGAACGACAGCCAACGGTCGCAACTGCACGTATTCACGGACGCAAGCGAACAGGCATATGCCACAGCCGCGTATTGGAGGACGGAACGCGAGGATCGTAGCGTTAACGTCGTCCTGGTAGCAGCCAAAGCGAGGGTAGCGCCCATGAAAGCGCAGAGTATACCCCGGATGGAGCTTCAGGCAAATTTGGCCGCTGACGTACTGAAAACGTCGTCGCGCGGCCGAAGTCTTCCTTACGGTCTCGAAGAAGACGCTACATTGGACTAAACGACACCGCTCGATACAATCCACACGCGGCCCGCCGGATGGCAGAAAGCGCCGAACATACAGAACCAACACAGTGGCGCTGGGTACCGACCGCCCACGACGTAACTAACGACGCGACCCGCGCGAGATATACAATACGGACCGCCGCCGACAGATCGGTCGGGCCGGCGCTTGTATACGCTCCAGAGAAAGAACGACCCAAGGATTCCCGTCCCTGCAGAGACGGTAGCCCGTGCCCGGGCGAAGGCAAAGCCCGTAATGGACAGAACGCGGTTCTCCTCATATGACCGAGTGAGGAGGACCCCGGCACAGGTGCTGCTGCTCGCAGACGAATGCAGGCGACGGGCATGGAAGCTGGGCCGGGAGCGCCCTGCCGAAGCGGGGAAATGGGTCAAGTGGCGTTGCGGTGAACGCGTACGGACGGACAGACGCGAGGGAATTTTTCGAAGGCCGACCCGAAGGCTGGTGGTCCTCCCTAGGGATAAGGGCTGCGAAGATCTGCGCCGGGGGAGGCTGTTGCGGACCACGATAGTTATGTAAATAAATTTTGTGTATAAATTTGTATTTTTCCAGTGTTTTGACTATTGTTTAGGTTAGACTATTGTTTGTACCATATACCCTTTGTAGCGGCATAGATACTGTGAATTCTATGCCCGCCCATTGTCTTAGGGATCACAGCTTTAGTGTAGCCTGAACATGTGGCATTTAGTCGCACGTGGTTTTTTGTAGTTTTTTGTATTGTTACTATTGTATTTAATTTTAAATGTGTGCGTATTCGCTGTTCCGGCCTCGGTCACCGACATGTGCAGGAATTGTCGGGAGGGTAACGGCCGACGCGCACAGCTCGGCGGGGGTGGGGAAGGACGCGCTCGGGCGCCCGTAAAAGGCGGGTTGGTTCTCGATCGCGCTCTCTTACGCATACGCCACCGACGAAGAACCACCGCCGGCGCAACGACCAAGAAAACCCCACTCCGGCCGGCCGACCCATAGAATAAGAAACAAATTGAAATACAGTCCACATATTTTGAAAATCGAAGACCTTTTAATTGTGTACCCCACAATCAATAAACATATTTCAAATAAAATAAAAATAAAAATATATTCAAAATTTAAAGTTATACTTATGGATACTAGACAACTGATAAAAGGACTTACTTACATTCTTTTTGTAAATTTTATACATACGTAATATACGCAAATAAGAGATATTATCTATTTAAGGAAATCTATCTTCTAAATATATATATATATATATATCTTCTAAATATAAATATAACTCAAAGGTGACTGACATAGTGATCTATCAACGAACAGCCCAAACCACTGGACGGATCGGGCTGAAATTTGGCATGCAGGTAGATGTTATGACATAGGCATCCGCTAAGAAAGGATTTTGATTAATTCTACTCCCAAAGGGATAAAATAGGGGATGAAAGTTTGTATGAAACTTTGTCAATTTTAAACCGATCGGGCTGAGACTTTGCATGCATAAAGCTACTATAACAAATGATCCCCTAAGAAGGGTTTTGATAAATTCCACCCTTGAGGGGATAAAATAGGGGATGAAAGTTTGTATAAATCTTCTTAGATTTTCGACTGATTGAACACATCACATGTCACAGAGTTGCCATACTTTCGAAATGGGTTAACCGATTTTGATTATTGTTTAAAATTAGGATAAATATTTATTTTTCTTTTAGCATTAAAAACATATATAACCTTCAATTGTCACCCTTTTTCGATTAACCCCTATTTTTTAAAAACGATATTAATTTATATGGCAATACAACGTTTGCCGGGTCAGCTAGTGTACATATAAATATATTACAATTGACAATAAACAGTAAAACCCATCGGAATCCCGGGGGAAATTTAGGCATTTCAGTTTTGGTACCGCAACGAATTTAATCATAATGAATGTTTAGAATATATAATAGGGGGTTTATACCTATGTAAATTAGAAGGAATGAACGCAGCCTAAACCAAGTTTGTAGTCATAATGGTGTAGCAGTGTAGTTGTCTGCCTCACCTAACTGTTGCAGGTTCAATCCTAGTACAATACAAATAATTGTATTCATAAATATAATAATAATAATCTCAGGACAATTCACACAGCGCCATCTAGTCATCAAGTTAAGCTAGCTAAAGCTTGTGTTATGGGTACTAGATAACTGATACAAATACATAGATATTATACATAGAAAATACTCAGACCGAAACAATCGTACTCATGAATACATGTTTGTGTCGTGCGAGGAATCGAACCCGCGACCATCGGGCGTAAAGCAGTGTGCAAGACCGCTAGACCACCGAGGTGGTCAATATGCCTGTTTCCTAAAAATTTCTGTTTGTGTTGATCTGATTGTTTTCTGTATATATTAATACATAAAGCAATAAGCAAAAACTCTGTATACCTTTTTATAAAAACTGCGCGGACCGATGAGTGTGAAATTGCGTAAACTTATAGTTTTCATAGAGAAGGATTACGGGTGCTGCTTGTGGGGACTGGTGTATTCAGGTTGCGAACACTGATAAAATTTTTAGTTCTTTGTGATAGCATATGCTGGTGGTCACTCTATCCTCCCAAATTTGAATTTTAATGACTGTGTATTATTATAAATATGTTCCACTATTATTTGAAAAAAATACGAGCTGAGTTTGTTGTCAGTTCTTCTCATCTCGATATCATTCCGAACTGACGGTAGATTTGACATAACGTAAACGACATGGCGCGGACGGATGAGTGTGAAGATGAAGTGTGTGATGTGATGTGAAGATGAGTGTGAAATTGCGCAAACTTATAGTTTTTATAAAGAAGGATCTTTGTGATAGCATATGCTGGTGGTCATCCTATTCTCCCAAATTTGAATTTTAGTGACTGTGTATTATTATAAACATGTTCCACTATTATTTGATAAAAAGACGAGCTGAGTTTCTTGTCAGTTCTTCTTCGATATCATTCCGAACTAACGGTAGATTTGACATATCATAAGAGTCTGTAATAGAGCTACATGAATAAAATATATTTTGAATTTGAAAAATTTGAATTACAGAATCCTAATATTTAATTTATACATTAAATCAACAAAAAAACATTACTAACTATAGTATACTAACTATAGTCAAACACAAATATATAGAATCTAAATAATGTTCAAACTTATAATTTAAGTTAGTTAGGGTCATATTTCGCCCACTGGCCGGCAGCTAGCATTTATTATTCTTTTTTAGGCAGGTAGCTAATGTAATAAGGAGTAACTTAGGCTACTTTTATTGTAGAAAAATAAACTTAAATACCACGGAGACGAAGTCGCGGGTATAGCTAGAATAAAATAAAGAGTATAAAAAAAGAGCAATATTATTGGTGACTGTCGGTGCGGTGTGTGTATAATAAAAATAGTAAATAGTTCAAAGTATAATTTGATATAATCTTAATTAAGTGGTAAGGATTAATCGAGAAAAATATTGATAAGAAAATTTTGGCATACAGATACATGCTAAAGCACAACTGAGATAAATGTTCGACATCTAATATCGAGTATAAGTTCTCTATTGAGAACACGCCACCTTCTCGTATATCGGTCCCATGATCTCCTTACAAGGAAACATAAAACCATTCCGCAAAGTATCGACCGTGAAACAAACGATTATTGCTCCGTTCACAATTTATTGTATCTATTTGTTTGGATATTGAATGACTGGTAAGAATATTTTAGCAGATATGAAACTTAATAAAGAGAGGATTCATAAAATCGGATTTTAGTTTTTTTATTTTTTCAGCCCAATTCATACAACACCATGTAGTCCCTAGCTAAGCAGAGCTTGTGTTATGGGTACTAGACAACTGATATAAATTCTTTGCTACACTATTTTTATTTGTAAATAAATACATGTTATACATAGACAACACCCAGATACAAACAACAAACGATACAAACAATCATACTCATGAATACAAATGTTTGTACCGTGCGAGGAATCGAACCCGCGACCATCGGATAGTAAAGCGTTGTGTTAAACCACTAGACCACCGAGGCTGTCTAATTATAATAATTATTTTCTCATTAATAATAATAATGTTACTACACTCGCGAGCAACCAAATCGACTCAGCGCTACCTCTGCATTCAAACATTGTTTTAAGTGAAAGTATACAACATTTTAATAAAAATTATATGTCATTTAAAAGCTTGTAATTTCAGCTTCCATTTTTGTCTGTCTGTCTGTCTGTCTGTTTCTTCCCGCTAATCTCTGAAATGGCTGGACCGATTTTGACGGGACTTTTATTGGCAGGTAACTGATGTAATAAGGAGTAACTTAGGCTACTTTTATTTTAGAAAAATAGTGTTAAACAACACGCGGACGAAGTCACTGGTACAGCTAGTATATAATAAGAGCGATGCAGACGAAGTAGCGCGGGTCATTGCAATTGTTTTTTTATGGTAATTGTATTTCTTTTTAGAGAGGGGCATGTACCTGGGCTCGCCGTGCGACACCACGTGCAACCCCAAGTTGGTGCACGTGTACTGCGAGCCGAGCACGCAATCGTGCCAGTGCGACACCAAACACCCCGTCGCACTCGGCGTCACTAAGGGATGCGCCAAACGTTAGTACTATACCAGTCATAATCTTATTAATATTATTATAAACGCGAAAATTTCTAAGTATGGATGGATGTTTGTTACTCACGCAAAAACTAAGGAATGGATTGATGAATTTTTGCAGATTTGATGAATCTTTACAGTAACATAGCTTAGCCTCGCTTAAGCATGAGAATAACATATAGGCTATAAATTTCATGCGGATGAAACTACATCAAAATACATAATATGTAGTTCCTCGAGTAACAACATAATCCAGTAATAGAAAAACATATTACGCCGACCCCATATAAATGGGATAAGCAAGAAGCAAATGATGATGATGATGAGTAATCATTCAATAATTTAGAAGGACTTCTTTTAACTTTAGCCAAGAAACTCGGAGAGCAGTGTTTCTACCGTCAGACATGCCGAGCCTTCGATGCGCACGCATCTTGTGTGCAGGTCAATCATAATGCATACTGCCAGTGCGACCCTGGCTACCACAGCACAACCCACTCTAGACCCACACAAAGAGTCTTCTGCACCGAAGGTATGTTATGACCTTATAATTGGATCTACATAATCAGTCACTTTTTCTACTGTAATAGTCAACCTTGGGTTTTTGGGAGTTGAATTATAAATAAGCCGAATACTGACCTAATGAAAAGTGGTATTAGCCTAATATAGATGAATCATGAATGCGGGTGGTAATTCTCGTAAGTTGCTAAGCTGTCAAGCCTCTCTAGTCTAAAATATCATTGTTATCTTTCCTCTCACACCGGATCACAAAGCTACTTACAAAGCACTCTGCAAGCCTTTAAGATAGAGGTCTAACAGACCCACAAGACCTTGAGGGTAGACACACACTCTAATAGACAACAGTGTATAAAGTCTACTTCGATTAAAACGTGATTCGTTTAATGGTAACTTCAAACCGGATCACAGTTTATAAAGCACACTGCTAGCAGAAATTAATGAGATAGAGGTTTAAAAGATCCACGAGACCTAGAGAGAGAAGATTAATAGACGACAGTTAACAGTCTATGTACTTTGATCGAACATATGAAGCGAACATCGCAGTCCATGAAAGCTTTATATACCCTAGTATAAGCTATGGCACCCACCCATTTTCAGATCTGGTTCTGCTGACGGCGGACATGCCGACGCTGCTGGGCGTAGCGTCGGGAATCTTTGTGCTAGCTGGGTTGCTCTGCATGGTGCTGCATCTGTATACCAGGGCGCGATATCACCCCACGCATTTAGCTGATGCCAGGCTTACGCCCCCATGTTTGTACTCGCTCAATGACACAGGTAAGTCCAACTGTAACAGGAGTAAGATATTTCAGAGTAAGTTCTGTTATAGGTTGCGATTAGGCAAGATAATAGCAATAACATCTTAATTCTCCGGAATGGCAACACAAGTCACATGATAACATCATTATGATGTCCATAGTTAGCTATTCATGTACCCTATCATTAGACGCTTACAGTCAGGTGGGCCATCAAGTTGTTTGCCATTCCAACATAAAAATGTATTGAGAAGAGTTTGTTATTGTACGTGCGCAGGTGGAACGGTGAGCGGGACGCGTGCGTCGTCCCGCGCGTCTTCGCGCAGCGGCTGCACGAGCGGCACGCTGGAGCTGGAGTCGTCGGCGTCGCGGCGCGCGTCGCGGCGCGGCGGCGGCGTGGCGGTGTCGGCGTCGCGCGCAGGTGCGGCGCGCACGGCGGCCATCTTGCTAATCTCGCGCCACCTGAAGGCCGTAAGGCGGGACGGCGGCGCGCACCCGCCTAAGTGCGCCGCCAAAGGTGATCTGGATAATGTATGCAGCGCGCGGTCCCATTTCTGCACGTCTCGGTGTTCGGGTGTCGGTGGACGACGCGGCCTCCTACAACGCCCACCTGCCTCTGTTATTCCTACCCCTGATCTCCCAATATATCATCATCGATGGTTATATTGTTCTCTTCAAAGATAATTTCTGTGACGTCGACGCTGACATAGAATTCATCTTTGAAGGTGATTCGAATCTTGATAGTCTTGACAAGTCTTACAAAGCTGACATCACAACAGAAATTGGGTTAGTTACAATCATAATACGTGTCGGTCGTAACGCCAGTAGTGGAACGTTGGGCATTGGAGGATGTCCGCGCGAGCGCATGAGACGTACCGGCGACGCCCGTGTCCGTTAGATGTTGCGTTTTGGTGTTAGCGGCCACGGACAGGCGCTAGTCTGCGACTGCTCGACCACAGTGCGATGTTGAACCAAATATGCTGGAATATCACAATGTAGGCCCTCACTCTTACAAATGACTCAAACTGTCATTATGTCCTTACCCTCCTCCGGAAATTGTTTCTTTCCTCTAAGATTCCTATAGTGCTTCTTATCATTAAGATCCCATTGTCTCTATTTCCATATTTTCTAGAGAAAAATATGTTGCATCACATATTATGATTTAAACCTTTTATTCTTTAAACTAGTTTACTTAGACCTTTACCAAGTAATCTCTATATCATACATCAGTTCCAAGTAGTTTTGCTCCAACTACTGCATTCTATCTCAATATTACCCAAGTAAATTACTTAATACCCAAGTAACTACTTGAATTCTCATGACATACATTCGTATCGTCAGACTTTATAATTTCTTTTAATTGTTAGATATGTTTACGTTCATTTTCTTTCTCTAGAACTGAGACCTGGCATATTTGGGATACATCAACGTAAAACCAGACAGTTTTGATGGTATTCTCTCGTAAGTACGCTTGATGTGTGAGGCTTTACTCGTGGCATTGGCACTCTATCAAGAAACCTTTGGGCTATTGGACAAGTGAGTCGCTTCTATGTGGTGTCAGTCGTATGATCGTGTGCGCTCTTCGCGCGGCGCTAGCAAGATGGCCATGGTCCTCTCATCCTTCTATTTCTTACACAGTCTATTAGTAAATGTTATGAAACTGGTCAAGGTTGCCTTAGCCTATTCGACTTTCATAATGAGCCTTACAACCTATACCTGGACATTATGAGGTCTGTACAATTAAATTCTTTATTATATTCTTCACTTCACATTTTTTTAGTATTCACATGGCATAGTACCAAATATTTAATTACAATTATTACAGAAAGATCCAAAAATTATTATGAAATAGTTTTTGGTTCTGTGTCTTGAAACTTACATTTGCAATTACTGAGATGATTGTTCTGTGAAAACTATAGCATACTCAACAATGTTATAAAATAGATAATAGATACGATTATATAATAATTAAAAGCATACCAAGATACTAGAGCTCCGATCAAAATTACATTGCATTGTTTACTTTAGCTTTAACGGAGTAGTTTTTACCATTATCTACCATCCATCCATCAGTAACCTGTAAAAAGATTGTTTAACAAAAAAAAATATTCTTCTTTTTAAAAAAATAAATAACTAGATAGATTTATTAATATTTCTGAAAGAAACGATAAATAAATAACCGTATTTTTAACGAACCAATGTTTTAGAATCTATCACAAATATTTTTATGTTAACTAAAAACACTAAACGGGGTTCTAAAAAAGTTCATTTCTAAAATTGATCTAACAGATTATTTTACCTATAAGAGACAGATACAGTGTATGAATTAGTTCCAAAACATTACAATATCATACAGATAACGGAATTATTGATCTTATTCAGACTGACGTCATTATGGCAGCTGACGCCAGATTCTCCTTGATTCATTAATCTTTGCCAATTTACTAAATTTGACAGAGATTAATTAAGATTATTATAAAGCTAGCGATATCCAGTTATGATTCTGAAATCAAATCAAATCAATATGAACTGATTTATAATACTAGTGAATTTAAAGTATAATTATGAGTAACTGATAGCTTTTCAATGGATGGTAATTGAATGGCGCATCAGTCTGCGCTAACTTACACTGGTGGGACACTAGTGGATGTTTATAAGATGAGCATGAGGTCAGGTCAGTTAGGCCACACAATTCACCAGGAATTTATTGCAATGGTTTCCAAAGGGAATCTCGAGGGAGGTCATCCTAACACGGTACATTGCCAGCAATAGGGTCATCTGTCCACATTACTATATACTTTTCCATCTGTATTTGCTACTACATGAGTTAGACTAAAGAAAACAATGACATCGGTAGCAATAACTGCTATAGTTTCTACAGAAGAACCTCATTAAGAATGGCCAAGGCTTCAGTTTCATGGTTTCAGCACGTACGCTTCACGCTTCGTCAACCTGTCTACTTAGCATTGGCTATGCATGGGGACACAGAAGTAAATGAGGGTAGTAGCAATATTATTATTTAAGATTAGCAATCACAGTAATTAATCGATAAAATAATTGAAATAATATTGAATTAATCAAATTTATCATAAAATCTTTTATAGTCAATCAATTATATCATACTAATAATAAGTTATTCGTAGAACTCAATAAAAATAAAACGTAGTAAGATCCCGTGATTTTTATTAATTACTAGCTTCACCCGGCCTTCACCCTTTACCCGGCTTCGCACGGGTGTACATGTATTATACATGTAAACCTTCATCTTGAATCACTCTAACTATTAACCGCTAAAAAAACCGCTTCAAAATGCGTTGCGTCGTTTTAAAGATTTAAGCATACATAGGGACGGACAGACAGCGACAGCGATTTTGTTTTAATAATGACACTTATAAATCTTAATGAAATTTGTCGTGCCTGAGAAATCCAATAGGCTATCTTTAATTTTTTTAAGCTGTTAATTTAACATTGCTAACGAACAACTCAATTTTAATTATGTGTATAGATAACGCATTGCTAGTGCGTCATTCAGTTCGTTGTCACTGTACTGAAATTCATTTCCAGAATAGTCCAGATCTGATATTTTTCTATCTCAAGCTGACAGAAACTTTAATTAATATAGAATTATTCCATTTGGTCCTTACTCATTCACTGACATTTAGAAAGAATAGATATTTTATAATAATTTGTTCGTAACTCATGCTATCTTAGAAAAAGAATGCTAAATAAAGACTTATTATTAAACTAAAATATACGACCTTCTTTTATTTCTGTGCAAATTGTGAGCGTTGCCTGTAACTGACCATTCAGCGTAACACTGTAAATATCTACACCATTTTCATAATAATTACTGTATTTAGGTAATACTTATCACTTAGGTACATACTTTCTAAATATACACATTATATTATGTATTTTCGAATGTATAAAAGAAAGTGGCTTCATATTTCTATACACTTACGTTTCATTATTTAATTTAGACTAATTTAATAATAATCACTTTTTGATATTAATGTAAGTCAGTGCTAAAACTTTTTTATTAATATTGTAAAGTTTGAAGTTAACCTATATATGCTTATACACTATATATGTACATATATAATATTTAGATACACTACAAGTTTTTCTATATAAAAGTAAATATAAAAAACATCATACTCTCTCACTAATGCAAGTAAAAACTCAATTCACCAAGCTATGCATCTTCACAAAGAACAGAAGTAGAGCAAAATAGAATATTCTCCATGAGACACATATGCTGATCTTCTCCACAGGTTCGCGACGTCCAAGTATAAGTTCTATGCAGAGCAGCTCATCTTCTATCAGGAGTTATAGCGCTAAGAAGTGGGAGAGAGAGAGGGAGCAGAAGGAAAGGCGGCAAATGAGCATGCGTCTCGCTCAGTTGCACGACAAGATGGCGGCTGGGCGGGAAATTCCGAAGCATGCACCGACGCCGTCGCCTCGCTCGCCGAACAACTCCACAGATGGGCTGCTGCCTTCTGTATGTGAAATTAGAGAAGTAAGATCATCATCGAACCTTTCCTTCTTACTATTTACTCAATTCATAGCAATGGAGCTCTTGCCACTTCCCACGATCTTCCATCATTCTCTTTATATATTGATATGCCACATTACCAATTTCGCCCTTAATATACAAGTATCTTTTTATACGTGGGGAATATCTCTCATGGAGACTCCGTCACAAAGTTTTTGTTTTAAAATTGTTCAAAATTGATAATGAAATGGGTGCACCATTTCATTATCTATTTTGAACAATTTGTCAAAATAACTCGTCTGTGATAAAGGTTAACTCTGACAAAGTACCAGTGGAGTTTGATAATATGAGATGAGGTTAGGTCAGTTAGCCCATCGTAACAAATTTGCCAGAACTTTTTCACGATGGTTTCCAGAGGCAATTGCGTGGCTAAACATTGCTAGTAATGGGTTGATTAATCTACATTTACTAACAATTCCTTTCCCCCTACCCCTCACAGAGGTTGTACGGACGAGTACTATGACACTTCTATTCACTTAAAACGCCATAGCATTCCTTCGCACAGCCATAGTGCCCGGCACTAGTCGCCAGGTCGTCTTAGGAATCCGCGACCCCAGCTCGATCGACTCCATCGACTCAGGAGTCGATGGAGGTTGTAGGGACGGCTGACTTGAACCTAATATCTTAATAATATTATAAACGCGAAAGTTTGTAAGTAAGGATGTTTATTATTACTCTCTAACGCAAAAACTACTGAACGGATTTTGATGAAATATTACAGTAATATAGCTTATGTGTCAGAATAAAACATGTGCTATATTTTATATTGAAATTTAACGCGGGTAAAAGCACGGTCACAGCTAGTATACCCAGAGATCAAAAGGATTTCGCCACAAAGATAGCGACAGATATTACTTTACTATAAAAATATATATATATATATATCACCATTATTTTTTTATACAATCAACAACTGTATTTCATCACATTGCAGATACTATCTTATTAATATGATAAACGCGAAAGTTTGTGAGTATGAATGGATATCTTGATGACATTTTACAGTAATATAACTTATACTCTACTATATCAGAATAACATATAGGCTATAAATTTCATGCAGATGAAACCGCGGGTAGATCTAGTATATAGATACTTGAAAGATACTATTATTTACCTTATGATACTATCGTCAACCGACTTATCTATAAACATATTATCTACCTGCACTAATGGGTATTATAGAGTGCCATTTTTGTAAACATGTCGAATATACCTATTACCATAGCAACTGGTACACCTATATACCTGTTTACCTGTACCATAGCACACCATAGGAAATTCAGTGCCACACCCTGAAACTTAAGTGGTCTCAAACAGTGCGGTTTCTGAGGAGCTTCCTCATGCGTGCATTTAGATTGTTAAGCGGTAGATTAAAAAATGTAATGACTATTCAAAAGTGCTTCAATGTAAGTTTATTTGAATAAATGATTTTCTATTCTATTCTATTCTATTCTAGAACTACTGCCGAAGTTTTCTCTAAGACCTCTATCAAGGGGTTTTTCAACAAGGGTATATTAAGGTTTGTTAAGGGTTGATAATGCGCACGGGACACCCCTGGTATTTTCACAGACTAAAATCGTATCCGTCAGACAGAAGTTAGCTTTGAACCGCTCCATAAGTCCTACCGGGGGTTTGGAGTGTCTTCTCCTCTCGCCCTCTATCGTTCGTGGAAGCTGTAAACGTCATAGAGAACGTTGTAGCGGATTCGATTCCTCGCACAGTACAAACATTTGTATTCATGAGTATGATCATTTGTATTGATCTGAGTGTTTTCTGTTTCTATGTAGGTATATTATGCATGTATTTACTATATACATATGTACATACATCTATCAGTTGTCTAGTACCCATAACACAAATTCTGCTTTGTTTCGGACTAAATAGCGCTGTGTGAATTGCCCAAAAATATTATCTATACATCTATATATATAAATAAAATTGGAGTGTCTGTTTGTAATGTTGAAATAGCCGTTTTTTACTACATGCATATGATTATAAATACGGTACATATACGAAAGTAATATTTTTTACAATTTTTGTCTGTCTGTCTGTTTGTTCCGGCTAATCTCTGAAATGGCTGGACCGGTTTTAACTGGACTTTTATCGTCAGGCAGCTGATGTAATAAGGAGTAACTTAAATTAAATTAAATTATAACTTTTATTTTTAAGAACAAAAAAAAAAAGTTAAATGCCACGCGGACGTAGTCGCGGGTGCAGCCAGTTATTAATAAAATTAATGGTTGTTAAATTGCAGCTTGCGTCGAATCCAGATCAACAGCTGCAGGGCGTTGACGGGCCTTGTTCCAGCTCGTCCCTTTACTGACAGCAACCCGAAGACGCGTCGGTCTCTAGACTCCCTCGCCTCTGATGGTGTGCCAACCATCGCCTGGATGTAAACACAGATCTTCAATCAAAATCCAACTAGGACTACCCAAGTGCATTTGTGTAACATATATATAGTTTGGACCATCGAAGTGATCTTCGAATATATCTTAAGAATATACGTGAATTTTGAACCCCCGTTTAAAAACTCCATAACGATGAATAATTAGTCTATAGTTTGAGTCCCACGGACTTAGGTTGAACGCTTCGTGCTTTTAGCGTAAAGTTAATTAATATTAGAATGAGAGACAACGTTGATATATGCTTCAAATAATTTTCGTGTCGACATTGGTATTGGAAAAGGAATGCTGTCAATTTTTGCCTATTATATACCTTAAAGCTCTTTTATTTAGACAAATTTTTAACTATCCAGCTTCATTATTATGACTTATAAAAGACTGTATAGACACTGATTTAAATAAAACACGACCTTCAAATAATTCAGATAGAATCTATTTTGTCAGCACGAAACTTGAAATGTGTTGTTTCAAATTATTATTATACTAGTATTTAATGTATTTATGTATATGTGTATAATTAAATTATTGCTTTTATATTTTTTTCTGATTATTATAAATACATACAGGTTCACGATCTTAATTTGGTATTTAATTGCAAATTACCAAAATCAATCTGACTTCATGTTTAATTATGGAAAAAATATTATACTCTGCCGCTTTTCTTCTGTCGTCATTCTCCTATTTCGTGTTCTAATATAAATTGTTATAACTTATATCTGAGATAATTTTATCTTGACAAACAGTGTATTATCACAATGTTTTAGTTAAAATTGTGCAACGTTATATCTGGCAAATACACTCAAACGTAGATTACACGAATGCGCGAATTCCGTTGCCTTGCTATTACAAGATATAAAAAAATCACTTAATAATGATGGTCCCACAGAGCAATTTATACTACTCCATATTATAAACATTTGAAATATAAAGAATAAAAGAAAACAACAGAAGCAACTGAAAAGAGACTGGATCAACAGTCACTACTATAAATATATAATTTCCTTGTTGAGATTTTGTAAAATCCCTATTTTAGGAAGATATATTGCAATTTAAAGTACAAAAAAAAGGAAAGTAGCAATTAAAATGAGACAAGATCAACAGTCACTACTATAAACATTGACTTTCCTTATTGAGAGTTTGTAAAAACCAATATCTTAAGGAGATATAACATTTGAGGGGGAAATGTTATCACTTAGTAAGTTGGGCTAAAAAGGACTTGTATCCAGAGCCGTAAAATATATTGATATAAAAAGAAATGTTATCTGACAACACTTTAACCGTGACGTTAATAACAATGGTGCCGTGTGCAGTAGAAAGTTCCAGTCCAGATGAATAAATAGATTTGTCGAGTCTGCAGTTGCGGGGTATTAATAAAGTCCAGCAATTATTTATATGAAACGGCCAACTCTGTCTTTCAAACACTTGGAAAATGTATTGCATACTAGCAGCTAACCGCGATTTCGTTTGCGTGGAAATAGACTTTTTATTATTATTATCTACTACATATAAATAAAATTGAGTGTCTGTTTGTAATATTGAAATAACCGTTTTTTACTACATGATTTAAATATAAATACGTTACATATACAAATACATTTATTACAAATTTTATAATTATGTCTGTCTGTTTGTCTGTTTGTAACGACTACTTCTGAAATGTGTTTTGACGGGACTTTTTTTTATATATAGCTGATGTAATAAGGTTAACTTAGGCTACTTTTATTTTAGAAATATTTATTTAGACAAATAAAGTTAAATTCCAAAAGTCGCGGATACAGCTTTTATAAATTTTTTTCTGATTATTATAAATGATAGCAAGACCTAGGATGTAGAGCACTTGCCCAGAAGAAATCTGTTCACCATAGTAGTATTTCTCCAGGAACACAATAACTGGAAGAGTTAGGTTTTATCATTAAAATTTAAATTAAATCTAAAATAATAGTACCTAACCCAAGTTACGATTATAATATTAGCTATCTGTAAAAGTCCCGTTAAAATCTGTCCAGCCCGATCGTTTTAGAGATTAGCAAGTACTAACAGAAAGACGGACAAAAATTGAAAAAAAATTTTTTGTAAGTACCGTATATACTTCTACCGTCATACGTTTAATGAAAAGCTGTTAATTTGAAATTACAAACGGACACTTGCAATTTTATATATTTGTGTAGATTGTAAAATACGATGTGCTGTGATGCTCACCTTGACTGACTTGGGAGATAACTATGTCATATCCTTCAGCCCCGGTTTAGCCTACTAACAAGAGCATTAAACTGTCTGAACCCGATAAAATCATAAAGATAAAATACTTTTTTAATTTATCAAAGCCCAAACGAAGTATAAAATTTGTCATTATGAGAGCTGTTTTTTTTTAATTCACACTTAGAAATAGAAATAGAAATAGAAATAATCTTTATTCAAATAAACTCATTACAAGCACTTTTGAATAGTTATATTTTGATTCTAAAAATAAACGCAGACTCATCACAAGAAGAATGAGCAAGAAACTTGTGTGTTGCTCTTTTTAATAGATGTTTTTTTTTATAAATAATTACAGTATAACAAGTAAGAGGCATGCGATAATCAACATAGAAGTCGCTACGCACTCATTATTAATGTAATCAGATAATATTGTCAGTGCTATAGATTTAAAGTTTTTCTATAAAAACATTATTATCGTTAACGAATTCTTCAATTTTATAGTAAGCTTTTTTGCAAAGGAACTGTTTTATTTGACATTTAAATCTTTTTTCTGGCAGATTTATAACAGACTCTGGTATTTTATTGTAAAACCTTACGCAATTGCCATAAAACGAATTACTAACTTTAGCCAAACGACATTTAGGTAAAATCAGTTTGTTATTGTTACGTAAGCTTTTATTAGTGCAATCACTAACTCTTTTGAAACTGTCTATATTCCTTCTGGCATAGATGATATTTTCATAAATGTATTGAGAAGCAACGGTGAGGATATTTGATTCCTTAAAACACTCTCGCAATGACTCCCTGGAACCCATACCATAAATGGAGCGAATGGCCCTCTTTTGTAAAGTAAATATTGTATTTATATCAGCTGCTTTGCCCCATAACAAAATACCATACGACATAATGCTATGGAAATAGCTAAAATAGACAAGTTTAGCCGTTGCCACGTCTGTTAATTGTCTAATTCTTCTTACCGCGTAAGCGGCAGAACTAAGTCGACTCGCCAATTTAGTAATATGAGCACCCCATTGCAACTTGGAATCTAATGTGATACCTAGAAATACAGTATCGTCAACAAAATTAATAGATTTATTGTCCAATACGATTTTTGAATCTACCGGCCTTACAGTGGGGAAGTAAATTTGATACATTTAGTTTTATTTGCATTTAGTAGCATATTATTTGCCGTAAACCATTTTAAAACATAAGAGAGAGAACCGTTTACTTCGTCCATATCATCAATATGTCGATTGACTTTGAATACTAATGAAGTATCATCAGCAAACAGAACTATGTCAGCTATCTTTTCTACCATATAAGGAAGATCGTTTATGTAAACTAAAAATAAGAAAGGACCTAGAATAGAGCCCTGAGGAACACCCATTTTAATACTAGTTCCCTCAGACTTTACACCATTTATTTCAACAACTTGCATTCTATTATTTAGATAGGATTTCATCATGCATAGTGCTTCATATCTAATACCGTAATATTCTAATTTGAGTAAGAGTGTTTCATGATCAACGAAATCATTCTTTTTAGACACAGAATACACCGATAGCATCCTGTGACCTCTCCCAACAGTCAAAAATGTGTTTCATTAAAGCTACACCAGCGTCAGTAGTTGATTTACCGGCCTGAAACTTGCCGACTGTGAAGCAGTCTATTTATTTTAAAGCAAAGCATCTGATTGAGCATAATTTTTTCAAACACTTTACTTAGTACTGGTAAGATAGAAATGGGCCTATAATTACCTACTTCAGTTTTATCCCCTAACTTAAAAAGTGGAGTTATTTTACTATGTCCCAGAAGAAATCTGTCATTAAATTGGGAAAAACACCGTCAAAAATACATTTATTGAAGATAGTTACTAAATAGCAATTAACAGCAATAACATCTATAGCGGTGTTAATAACTTTAACAGACATGCCCCAATGGTCTTCAGTATTTTTTAAATTTAATTGTTTAAATGTTTTCGTAATCTGTAAAATGTCAATAAATGTAAATTTAAATGTAACCGGACACGAAGCAACATTGTCAATAAGGAATGATTTAGCTGTACTTGGAGAAGAGTCCAAAGAGGACAATGTCAAATACTAAAAAAATTTTTCAAAAATATTGACTATTTCTTTTGTGGACGTCATAGTTTATCATTATAATTTAACGTAAAATCATTATATGGACTTTTAACTTTGCCAGTTTCTTTATTAATAATATTCCACACTGTCCTAATCTTATCCTTGGATTCTTTAATTTTTTTATTTAGATAATTAGACTTTGCTACATTACATACCTTTTTAAAAGTTTTTGAGTATCTTTTTACATAATTTACGAATGTACTATCGAAACGGTATTTTTTTTGATCATATAAATCAAATAATATATTTCTACTTTTAAGAATTCCTTTTGTAGCCCATTCTGAAAATTTTGTTTTGTTACTAACATAGTTTTTTTGTTAAAAGCATTATTATACTCGTAAAAACAAAATTGAAGAAATCTGTATAAAGTTTGTTTGGTTCATCAGATTGAGGACAAAAATCTAATTTACTACGAACTGATATTTTAAATTTATTGATCTTATAACTAGTCAAGTCTCTTTTTAATAAATTAATTTTCCTAATTTTGTTTACGTGATTTGGAAAAATTACTAATTGACCACAGTGATCAGAAGGAAGGTTGTTTAATATTATTTTATCTAAATATTCACTGTTGCTAAATA